GCAGCATAATACAACTTTTTACTGGAGATGGAATGCGTCCATACAAATTCCTGCAAAGGAGTAGCATGTAAGAAAAATAAGACTCTCCTGGGGTTTTGCCCAAATAATTGGAAATATCAATTTATAAGAGTTTTAAAACCCAGTACCACCTGGCAGCTACTGTTTGCAGGGAATTAATTTTGGTTATGGTAACAAATAATTGCATTTTTTTAGGGCAATAACAAACACTAGTTTCAAGTCGAAATCCAATAAGCTGAAACAGCCTTGCACCAAAGTACCTGTTACTACAGTATCTTGTGAAGAAAGCTAACTGCTACTACGTGGTTGTTTATAAGCAGACTTCATGGAAGGGGCTAGCATGCCTGGAATCTGCGAATTCTAAATTTAAATGCTATTAAGAATAAGTACAATTATCTTATAAACTCAGTAAACCATAATGTATGCTCTGTCAGAGCTTGAAACCTTAATTCTTGTCTGTTAATGCCAATGGCAGAGATTAATATTCTGCATGGAAGGAAATTTGCATAAAGAAAATATTGTCCCAAGACCACTGGATATTCCCCTCCAGCTCCAAAAATAAAAGTGTGAAAGCATGAAATTAAGAACTAAGAGTACGGGATGTAGCATAAAATGCCACACCAGCATTTTTCAGAAACAGGTCCTTACCCTTTGCCAGGTTAAACTCTCCTCTCTGCTGCGTGAATCATTTGGTCCTCACTTCCCTAGCACTGTGAGGAACTGCAGTATCAAGTGAAACCACTGTCTGGATGGCCAACACAAAACCCTTAGCAGTCTTATATCTAGTTCATCTTTAATCATTTTAGTCAGCACCTTTGGAAGCAGCAGTACAGCAAGAACAAAGGCTTCTGAAAGCCTTTCTGCCTAGAAAGCTGTCCTTGAAGAGGTCCTCAAGAAAGACTACCAACAAACCAGGCCAACTCTGAGCTTCATTACTGGCAATACAGTAGGAGAAAATAATAAAGGTTTTGCCAGCTTACTATCAAACCTTCTTAAGTCATGACAAAATTTTTCTTTGTGGCTTTGCATTGACTGTATAGAATAACCTGAGAGATATATGAAAGAATACTCAGTTTTCTCCAGTCAGGGATCCTGAGATACCATGAGAACGAGCAAACTGTATGAGCACATTTCACTCCCTCTGAACCATAAGCTGACTATTGAATCTGACTAATGAGCAAAAGGAGTTCATTTTGAAGGGAACAAGAGGCGGGTGTGCTCAACAGTCCTAGCAGAGAAGCCATTTCATCTAGATGGTGAAGTAAGCATCCAGCTTTGAACTTTTTTACCAATTTCTTCTAGGCTTGCTTTGGCATATGCGCATCTTTGGTGTGCAATCATTCACTTACATGTGTGCAGAAGGCATGGAAGCTCTTAGGAATTAATGCAGTAAATTTGAAATCAGTTTGCTGAAGGGGCTATGGAAAGGACTGGGAAAAGACTTGACACATTCAGGAAAAACAGTAGGTGTAAATAGCAGGAGAACAGTAGGTAGAAGTTGAAAAGACGACAACAGACAGGAAGGATTCATACATCTACAGAATAAGTGATCCTGTGGCTAGGCAGTTGTAGGCATTTCAATTGAACCACTGTCTATTTTCTCAACCAGGTAATATGTTAAAATTTGCCTGCAAATTACAAGACTCTGCAAGAAAACCAGGTATCATCTGTTTTAATAGTTTTGATGTAAAAAAGCTAACACTTTGTTTTTCAAAGAAGCTTTCAAATTCCTCTGACATAGAAACCAACATAGGTTTATAGGCTCACAGGCAGAGCGGAAAAATGATGGCTTGTACTTCTTAATGAGCACTTTGGAGTTAGAGGGAACAAGGGAGCCTGAATGACGTAAAATTTTAGTGTGCAGATCGCCTGCCTTTTGTTATGAGGGCTGGACATAAGCCTAATGAAAAGGGGAACAGCTCCAGCATACGAAGTATGGACAGCTGCAATAACTGTCAATCCAAGAAACTGGAGGGGACTGAATAAAAATGACAGGAATTCCATCACCTGAAAGAGTGTGGAGGAATGGAAATAAACTACCACGGCTGCCTGTACTTCCCATTTGGACTAAGAGATAGGAGGAGGAAGAGGACAAGGTACAGCTGTCACAGCAGGAGCTACTGCGTCAGCAAAGTGGGGATCCGTGAAACTCCTTCTGTGAGGAGCAACGATCCGGGAACACAGGGGTAAGCACCAGGAGCTTGGGAGCAACTTGGGTGGGAGGCAGCAGTGCAACACAGAATGGCATTTCTGCCTTCTGTGTGAACACACTAACCATTTGCTAGGCTAGCCACCACAGCATCACTAGGCTTGAGTTCTTGAGAAGAGAGAGTGTATATGCTACAAAGGTCTTTTAATGGAGACTTTAATATCAGAAAATGGTACACAGAACCTAAGTTCCAGAGAGGAACTGCATTAAAAAAGTTCACCCTCATTGGCCCTTTGTCTTATGCATCTGTAGACAATCTCTTGCTGTCTGTGAAGGTTCTTCTGTGATTCCAGTTTAAATTATCTCCTATGGTGGATTTTATGACTACTTTGGGGCCATAATTAATCAATCATTTTCTTGGACCAAATTCTTGATGTCTCACTAAATATACACCCTGGAACTTGAAAACAATATCATTAACAACTTTGGGCACTGAAATAAATATTTTATCAACTACATCAAATATTAGAGACATTTTTGGAGTATTTGCCTCTCTCTCTAATAAATCAAAATGGACACATTGCATAGGCATGTGTATCTCTGGATCAAAACTGAGTTTCAGAAGTTTGTAAGCACATACTCCAAGTGTTGAAACTTCAAGGGACATCACAGTCACCAAAGGAACCTTTTGTTTCACCTTTTTTTGATGGACTAGATATTTTCCACGTGAGAAAGGGTAGCGAGCCACCGTAATGCTAAATAGAGTTGCGGATGTGGTAAGAAATCTGGAAAACTACTGTTAAACAGATTGTGACAAAGGATTCACAAACTTTCACAGAGGAGGACTGAGTGGTCAGCTGAGTATTGTCTCCCTGAGATTCCACAATTACAGCATCAAACCTTTCACCTTTTGTTGCAGTAAATGGGCTACACCTGCCAGGCAAAATAAATTCTGACTATGAGGAGAGATGATTTGGAGAAATGCACTTTTTTGTTGCCATTGATGTTTTAATAAAACCAGTTTTGTCTGCTTTACAAAGACCATGTGTTGAAATACAGACAATACATCATGATAAAGACCCTGAAAGCTATTGTTTATTATCTCTCCATACTAAAACAAAGTTTTCAGTGCTTCTCAAGCTGTTTCTATCTTTTCCTTGTTTGGTGTTGTTTTTTTGAGTGCCTTGTCTGAGACTTCCCTTTAAACTTTCTTCAGGGAAATAAATCTTGTAGAGTAGAGCTTTTACAAAACTCTTGCAACCGTGAACTCAAAATCTTCAATCAAGTACCTATGTGAAATTTTAAACCAAAAGCATGAAATGAAGCTAATGTGCCTGTAACATTTTATGAACCGTTAAGAATCATACAATCACTGAAAAAAAATGCCTGGCACCAATGACATCAGCAAACCTGAAAGAATGAACAGGCCCCTGGTGGTGAGTTAACATGAGGCAGAGCTGTATGCCCAAGAGGAGACAAAGAAATAGAGCAGTGGAAGAGGGAGAAGCCTCACTGATGGAAGCAGAAATGAAGATCCTTGTCTCCTTTTCTTTTTCTCTGTATTTGCCTTTAACCCAACCTAATGTTTTCATGGACATATAATAATGTGTTTTTAAAAGAAAGAAAGATTCCTAAATTCTCATGCCTACTCCCCATCCCAAGGCTACATACTCTTGTGTGTGGTTATTGGGGACTCTTCTTAAGAAGTAGCAAATGCATTGGCATCACTGGGGTAACCTACTTGTGGATAGCAGTCTGTACTCATAAACGTTTGTGAGTGTGGCAGAAATTTCAGCCACGTCTTTTTGTCTCAGATTTGGAGGAAAGAAAAATATTTTGTGGCATCCCAGGGATGTGACCAACAAAATGATTGGTTTTCTTTTATGTCTGTGTTATTGATTCAATTAGGAAACCACAAAAGTTGTCATAATAAACTGAACATCTGAAAAAGAAAGGTAAAATTAAATCTGAATGTCCTTGATACGAGTGCTTTGATGTAAGGTTTACTTCATCTGGGAGATATAAGTGTAGAAATGAGGGGTAGTATGGATTATGTCTGTCAAGTCTTCTACCACAGTTGAAAAGAATGATCTGAACAGTCTGTTGTTAAAAAGTCTGAGGCAGATGTTACTTTTACCACCACAATCAAAGCAAGGGTCCTCAGTGTTTGACTTTCAAAATCCCCTCTAAGTTCCTCACAGAGACGTAAAATGGTTTGTTTATTAAATCTGTAATTTTACAATACTTGTGAGGTCCAGAATGAAATGCCTGATTCTCTGCAATCTCTGGTGGGACATATATTTCCTTAATCTCTTTAAGAACATACCTCCTTCAGCCTAACACCAAGTGCTATATTTGTAATCTAAGAAAACAGTAAAGATTCTATTTTCTTTCATTATAATTTCTGCTATATTCATCTTAAAGTTACCAATTTAGCTATTTTATTCATGTGAATACATATTAACAGTAGTGAAAAATGTCACATTTCTTTTCGAATGCCTGAATATATTCATACTAACTCGCTGCTGTCTTTGTCTCAAAAGATTTTAAAGGTGTTTCAAAACCTCACAGACAAAAGACTCACTTTACCAGCCACAAAAGATTGATCATCACTCAGCAACAGAATTCAATAAAACTAAACTGTGAGGAGCAGTTTATGTCAAGAAATACAAGTAGAGGCTTCCCTGAAATTCATGTTCAATTAGTTGATAATTTGTTTCCTCAGCACTCCTATCAGGCAGTTCCCATCTGCATGTACCAGAAGTCAAAAATGGAATAAGAGACCAGTGACAACATTAAGAAACAACACAGTTAAATGGATCTATTTGCTGTATTTAAATTTCTCAATACTGAGATAATACAATTAATTCAAGACAAAATATGAGTGAAAGAAAACAGCCAGACTTCAAGCAGGGAAAGGAGCTACGTCTCCAAAAGGGTATAGGATGAACCTTCTAATCTGAAGCAGCATTTAAAATTCATAAGGAGATTCTGAACTCACTGAAGCTGAATAGGGCTTCGGTTTTGGAAGTCAATGGTAAAATTTCACTGAGGCATAATTTAGTTCTTGGTGTTTAAAAACACATTTTAAAGCGTGCTAACACCAGATTAAGTGTGTTTGCTTCTCTTATGCCATGTCTGTATTCAGTGGTCACAAGTCAGTGACCTTGATTTGAAACTTGAAATGATTTGAAATAAAATAACGGTAAAAATCATGCTTTTTTTTTAACTTATTTGCTGCATTGCATTCATCCACTGTTACATGTCTAATGTCAAACAGGAGTTTAAAGACATGCACAACAGCCCCATGAGACCCCAGCTCTCATCCAGGAGCTGCCCCTATCTCTGATACTACAGTAATCACCCAGCTCTGAATGTTTAGAATCACGGTGACTAATTGAGATCAGGACCTAAACTCTGAAGAACAGCCTGGCAAGACCAACAGATGAGAAATACATTACAACAGCATTAGCTAGTCACCATCAATCCACAAACACCGGAGGAATGTCACATGCTGATTGCCCAAATCTGACACTGAACTGAGACAAACCAAATTGCCCGTGGGTTGAAAGTGCAGCAGTCTGCACTGCAGTGCAAGGTGAGATGGGATGGGCAGGGGAAAGTGGGACACAAAGCAGGGATGAGGAGTCATCTCACCTAGTCAAGATGGGTCTCATGTTCTCTCCAGTAAGGGGAAACAGAAAACACCGTGAAAATAAGGCAAACACCAGAATATGCACAGAAGGTAGGAAAACCAGGTTGAGTAAACTTCACAGTTTCCACTACTCTGAGACATTGATTGCAACTTTGGAGAAAGACCTGGATTTTTGCCTGCTGTTACTCCTGCAAAAAGGGAACAGTAATGGTGCCCCTCAGGATGGGAGTTTTGTTACTTTCCAAATGTTGCATGTGTTTTTAAGTGTCCTGGTGGAATTTGTACATAACCATGCAAAGAAATCAGTACACACATGCATAAGATAATGTTCTTTTACACATTTATAACAAGCAGATTTAGACATATAAAGAGCAGATATAGTGGCTCCCCAATATCAAGGCTTCCCCTGAAATATTCTTTAACCATTAACAATTTGCTGTATCATTTACATGCATAAAAGCTAGGAATACATGTTATGCTGTGCATTGTACACTCCTTGCTTCTTAGAAAACAATACACAAGGGAAACTTCTCCACTGATTCTAGGGAAAAAAAAGAAAAAAGCATTTGTTATAAAAAATTTCTAACAAGAATAGGAATTCTGTAGTGGTGGAAGTAAAAACTATATTTAATGGGAAGGATCAGTAATTCTGTGTATAAATTTTGTATGACTTGCATTTAAGTGAGAAAAATTGTAAGAAAATAAATATTCTTCATTTGGTACACCAGTCTGAAATCAGCATAAACTTAGGTGGCATAATCATCTCCTGAACACCTTTAAGGAGTAGGTTCAATCCCTTGACTCAGTTCCCTGAAGCCAGTGGAACTAGCTCTATTACCTTACATCACATCTGATGGCCTTTATGGAAGGATGGAACAGAAAGGTTACTCTTATGTAAAACAACAAAGCCAGAGAATCAAATGCACATCCAAAACAATGTGAAATGTCTCTTTAGTAAATATCATTATTTTGCACTCTAGGAACCCTGAAGTTAGTCTTAAAATACTCTATGATTTTTTTTTTTACACAAGTGTATCTTTCCTGGCTCCAGATTATTTTGTCAATCTTCATCACACTTCAAGATCAAGACCTTGTTTCTAGTTGCTGTTGCTTTTCTTCTTATTTTTTTTTTAATTGTGTATTATTTTCAGAGTTAAATGCATTATGTCTGCTGCCTATTTTATTTGGAATAAAACACACAGAAATAGTTTTAGACTGGAGTAACCAGTCAGACCCATTTAAGTATAGCTGACTCACAAGACTAGCAGAGATAAGCGGGAAGTTTTGTAAACAACGTTAGTGTTTCCAAAGCAGCTATCCTGCAATCCCATCACTCACATGAGAGGCCAGTTCCTGGCATGCAGTGAGTTTATCAGGAGCAGCCTGAAGGAGAAAGTGAAGTTGAAGTAAAAGCCTAGTCTTACAGTAAAGCAACTTCATGTTTCTGCTGTGCCTTTCACTTCTGTGGTGGTAGAAAAGAAAAAAAGGGAAGAGGGAGAAAACAAGAAATGCTTTTGCAGATGAATTCTTACACCCTGTTGTCACATTTTAAATTTTTAAATCACACTAGGTTAATTCAGCTTTTATTTTAGCAGGGTATTATGAAGTCCTTTTGGATGTCTCATCCTGTGCAAGTGCCATCAGAAGCATAGAGAGGTTTTGATGCTGGTACCTCTTCCAGGTTTGTCCCATGCTTCCTGTAAGTCCTCCTGCCTCTGCTTTCTGCTGGTCTCCCAGTGCTGCTGCTGATCTTCTCTGGGTGGCCAAAGTAGTAGGAACAAGTGTGGCAACACTAAGGTCCTCACTTTCCCTGTTGGTGGGAACCATCCTGAGGACTCTGACAAGTGGCGACCATTGAGTTCATGTTCCCTATCAAAACAAAAGTAGATTGCTGAAAACCTGTTCAGAGGAGTTACTAGGACATTCTCTGATTCTGTCAGTATCGCTGAAGAATATCAATACTTGAAAAAACTTGCCAATGTGCTGTTCATCTCTCTCCCTCTTTACAGTACTCACTAACATCTGGTCACAAAGCGCTGTACTTCCACTAGTCGATATTACGTCACTCTTCATAAAATATGTTCACTTAAGTTTGTATGAAAAGTCCAGCTAGCCCTGCTAGTGCCCAATACCAGGGTATCCCCACAAGTCCTGTGTGCAATGCCGTTTCCTTAGCAAGCCAGTTCAGTTTTCCATCCTTTAGTTCTTGTACCTGATGTACTATCCAGAGAGTTTTGTCACTGCTGAAAACAAGACATAATTCATAATGGCAATCTCCAAACCATCATAGAAACATGGAGATTACACCCGTAAAACAATTCCTTGAAACACCACTTTAGCACTCAGTGTTATGTGCTTAGAAACACCGCAGTATTTGTCCCCCCAACTGGCAGAATTTCAGCAGAAGACTAAGGTAGAATATCGCATCAAGCAAGAGGAACCCCCAAAACTCTGCATTTCTCTGGACATCCAACCCAAGCAAGGAGATCTTGAAAAAGAACATGACTTAGCAGTAGTTGTGATCTGTTTTGGTAGACTATAAGCAAATCGTATTTTAATAATCTTTCCGTTCAAGTCTAACTACAACAATTTTTGGTCCCATTCCAATTACATTTTACTTTTCTAGATGCGAAAAGTCTTATTTCTACTAGGTTCAGCAAACAGAGGAGTTCAGAAAACATTGCAACAACATTACTGTTGACGGAATCACAGCAATTTTTATAGCTGAGCTTACATTTACAAGCAGGAGTATCACCAGGGTCACAGCCCTGCTTCATGTCTTGTGGCAACTGAACAAAGTTGAACACACACAGTCAGACATTTAGATGGCCAGCTGGCATGGGCCATAAGCACTGCAATATCATTTTGCCCACCCACATAGACAGTGTTTTAAAACCAGTAAATAGAAATACAACAGTAGTTTTATAGAAAGGCCAGACTATAGATAATTAATCCATTGGATAAATATGTTTACACCAGACAGAAAGGCAGAACTCACCAGCCAGACTTTACCTTGTATAAAATTTTCTGTAGCATGTATTGTTGCCAAATGTCATTAGTGCAAAAAATGCAGCTCAGAAATTATCCAAACTTCCTGTTGCTTCATGCAACCAGCTACAGTAGTAGAAACCTGTCTCAGGAGACATGCTGTATTTTAATATATGACTATCTTTGCACCATGGAAACAACTATGGTATCTGTCACAGAGACAACTTCCCTCAGGACTCAACTAATTCTGCAGTTTCTTCATTAATGTGATGATGGCAACAATTGTATTAGCAAATAGGAAAGCTGCCTGTGTTCACGTAACTATTTTAGCATTCAAGGGAATGTAGAGTAGAAGTTTGGAAGTGTGAGGTCTAATTCTTAAAAAAATATGCAAAAGCTATTCAATAATACATTCACTTTTTTGAAGGAGGTAACATAATTTCAGTAATTTGAACTTTATACTGTATACATACGACATCTTCCTTTCCTATGTAACTGCTGTGTTTCATTGCAGAGATAGGTACATTTCATTATGCTGGCAGTACCAAAGGGGCAAAAATTGCTGATCTCTCTCCTGCACTGGTCTGCTCCAAGATGAAATAACAAAAAGTTTAACTAAATTGTTTCCCATAAGCTGGAGGGAGGTAATCAAAGCTAATGTAACATTGCTCTTCTAACCCCTGTCCAGGGAAGTTACACGGTTCACAAATCAAGTTACAGGGGCAACACGGGCACTAGGAGGAGACAGGCAAAGAAACAAACAGGAAGAGAGATTCAGATATCAGCACTTACTAATAAACCTTCTTTTTTCTGTGCTTTGAGATGGATACATTAAAAACATAGTTCATGGTATAGAATTTCCTAAACAATTCACTTATGTTCCCGTAGCTTTTTTCTTAGCTATTTTCCTAAAAGTTGTAAAAGAGACAAAACAGACAAAAGTAAACATTTAATGTAGTGCATAAATAGTCTTTCTTTGGAGCAAGATAGCATCAAAGCTAAGAATTTATTAGCATTCAAGAAAAGACTGGACAGTTATAAAAGCAAGAAGAGTTACCAACATGCTGAATAGGAAAAGCATATTTCACTAGAGCTATAAAAGAAAACTGTAAGCCTTAGAACATGATCTGACCTATACCACATCAGGGAATTAAGAAAATCTTCACAACAACTTTCCTAATTCCCAAGTTGAGTCAGGCCAGGTACTTGTGATTTTGATTGGAAAATGACAGAGCTAGTAAGAGGGGAGTCACACCAGATTCTTCCACATACCTTTGGTTTTGAGAGAGAACAAATACATTTTCAGGTTCTGTTTGAGGTTTAGGCATGATTTCACATCAGTTTTTATTTCATCTTTTCTTAGTTTTCTCCTGGTTTTACTAGAATTCCTAAAGTTTTACTTCATGCATTTGCTCACTTACATTTTCTCTCTTTCAGGTGGCAGGTACGGTTTCATTTTGGCACACTACACACAGCTACTGAAGCATGTTAGCAATTAGGGAATTGGCTGCAAGAAATAAGAGTCAGAGATCTTTGCATTGGATGAAAATGGATCTCTATTGTAGCTGACAGAAACATTTTTTGTTTTGTCATACTGCATTGCTAAGAAAGAAAATCTACAGAAGCACAAGACTCTCATTGATCGCAGTCACCAGTCCTTCATGGAAAATCACCACCAACTTCAAAAAGGGCTTTGTAGTAAAAGGACACACACACCAGTAATAATCAGATAACAACTTTCACTTTCATTTCCCAAACTCTCTCCTGGGATCCTTCCCTCATCTTTTTGCTCTGCCTCTCACTCTGTTCCTCATCAAAGCCTTAGGCTTTGACCACTGCACCCCTCTCCTCTCTGTTTTATGCCACATATGCAAAAAAAACCCACGGCTCCACCTATTTTACAGCTAGAGAATGAGTTTCTTTCTCATTAGCACATATTAGAAACAATTATAGTTTTCAATGGTATGGGAAAATAATGTGAATGGGATCCCTATGTTCAAAATAAAGCTCAGTGTTTTGTTTACATATTTCATTAATTAAGGCACTCTTTTTTTACCTTAGCTGCTGATAAGTTATCTTGGTAAACATTATGCATGATAGCTACTATTTGTTGCTATATAAAATTAAATTATCAGACGGGTAATCAAATTGGAAATTTTCTCTGCAAAGGATACTCGTCACAGGAAAAGAACATGTGTTAAAAATCTCTTTGCTTTTTCATGGAGGAAAGGTACTTGACTGTAATTCTACCCGTATTACTAATGAATTCAGAATGAATAATGAAAAAAAAAATTCTCTACCAGCAATATGATTTTCAAAACTAATCATTTCACAGAAACGTGGTAGGTTAAGTAACATGAGATGACCATTTGGAACAGAAAATCTTGAGAGAACTAGTAAAGAGGGATGTTCACAAATTATTTTTTAACATGAGTAGAAATTTCACCAACTAGCATTCATTACTATATCAGGGTATAGAGTTTTCTTCTTCAAATTTAGAAGTTTGTTGTTTAAAATAAATACTTGCGTGTTACCTACTTAATCAAGTATCTGAAGAGTCAAAAAGAACCATAGGATCATGCAGTTAAACTAGCAATGGAAATTAAATTGCTCTACTTTTATAGAATTCTTCATTATAATTTATTTTGCTGGGGTTTGACCTGACAGTGAAGTGTATTTTGAATTGGGCATCTGATATCAAGTAAAGGCCATTACAACACACCACCTGAAGACATATTTGGTGGTAACACGAGTTCTATTTTAGTAGTTAAAATAATTCTTTATATCTGAGTTGTCCTGGACTTTATGTCACACAAAATTATTTCAAGTTCAACAACTCCATTGTTTGCAGTAATCCTTTTAATATTCAGCATGGAGGGAGCCAACAGGTCACAAAAGTGACTTCCCCTTGTACTGTGAAAGTTCATGTGGATTTGAAAAAAGCTCTGAGCTCATGGGCCTGTGACCTCAGTCTGTAATTTCTAGTGTTCATCTGCAGGAGGGCAATGAGCTACTTCATCTCATAACCAGCCTCTAAAACAGCCACATCCCTCGAGACTATGTTCTAGAAAAGGCAGCTTTGCAGATCAGATGGCTAACATCTGTGTAAAAGTTCTTCATAGCCAAATCCTAGTAATGCATAGTGAAAATGTTACATTCACACACAATGGCATTCTGTTCACACCGAGTTCTTATTTTCCACTAAAAAATAGGCACCCCCAAACAGATTTTCATCCCAGGGAATGAAGATCAATACCCTGCCCTCTTAAGCCTTTTTTCTTAAACAGGTTAAATCTGCCTTGATGTAATTTTAAACAGCTGTCCCTCTCTCTTACAGTTGTCTCTGTAAGATGGAAATAGTAGCCATGCATGTCAAAAGGAGACAAACACCTTAATATTCTCCAGGTACCTAGCTGGTACATTGATGACTACCTTAAATGAGACCAAAAGCCAATGTATAATTCCATATTTAATTCAATCCTTAAAGACACAAAAGGGCTCTGCAGTAAAAAATGAAAAGAAAGGAGAAATAGCAGGAAACTGCCTAGATTATGTGTGAACATGTGTTTAAAGATTGTAGCTTAATGCAAAAGGCAGATGAATTAGAACTGCAAATCTACTTACTGTTAGCACTCCTTGCTTCAGAGAACTTCACAAATTAATATTCTTTTAATGTATTTCCAAGTAATGATGTACGAGCCTATATAGATAGATATTTAAGCATTAAATGAACAATGGAGCAAATCTTTGATTGAGGAGAGATTTAATATATAACAACTATAGGCAATAGAATCTGAATTAGATATGTCTTTTGTCTTGAAAATAAATTTCAAAACAGTCATCAATGAAGCTCTAGTGAAAATATAGATTTTGCTTTCCAAGTTAAAATTAAAACAGTCATCATAAAAAAAATCCTAAATCAGTCAAACCCTGCATTCATTATGAACTGTAATTTTGCAGTCCTATTCCTATCTTTCTTCTGCCACTATTGTGATGTTTTACTCAGCTGCCACCCCACACCACGCATTTCCTCTGGGTGCATCTCCCTTACCGTCTTGATGATGTGACTACATAGTTGAGACATGGTCCACTCATTACCCACACTGCAAACATGGTGGTGTACATTTGAGACCTGCTTCCAGGCTCACTGCAAAAAGGGTTGAGGACAGGCTGGAAAACAACGGGAAGGCAGGAGCACTCAATTTTTGTGTTTTTCAGTAGTGTGGCTATGAGCACACCATACCTGCTGCTACCTCATTTGATGGCTTTCTTGCTGTCACCAAAGGTCTGGTGCAGCCCAATGTACCCACACCAACAGTGAGACTCCCCATTAGGGTGACCTGTGCTGGGAAAAAAGGATTAAAAAAAACAAAGCAAAAATGAGAATACATACTTGAGTACAATTATGATCTAGGTAGATGGTGACTCTTCCTTCAAAGACCTCCTCAGAAGCTACCCACTTTGCCCCTTCCTTCTCTGTAAAGATACCAGTTTGCTATGTAACAGAATGCACATTAGAACTGTTCTTCAGCTGGTCTCAATTCAGCTCAGTTAATTCAAAGCTCCAATGAAGGAAAGGAATAAAGAGTAAAATAAATAAATATAATGAACCAATTGCTCAGTTAGTGTAATTGCATGGGCTTCAGTAGAACTACACTAATTTCCAGCAGCTGGTGTTCTGGCTTTTTATTTTTATTTACTTTACCTCCTGTTCTTAATTTCCTACCCTCCCATTTGTCTGTTATTTTCACGTTCTATGGTGGCTTCATTTGGAGTGTAAAGTCCTTTGCACAAAGCAAAAACCATGCACAACTCTAGGACAGATAGTGAATGCATTCCACTATACGACAGGTAGGAGAGAAGTGATAGGTATAGAGACAGTATAGAACTGCAACAAAAAATATATGTCCAAATCCAGTTCCACATATATTTTCTCTCTTGGAGAAGATGTTCTTTCCTATACAATGTTCATTGTTCCCTCTTCCAATTCATGACTCAGGAATATTTTTTCCTGTGTCAGGTGTTCGTTCAATACAACTAAGACAGCATTTCTACGTTTTAGTCCTAAAGCTAGACATATTAGGCAAACCTACTCATAACTTTCAAAATAACAGCTTTTCAGTGGACATATCAATGTATCACCTTAAAAATACAAATATGAGTTTAAACAGACTCTAAATCATTGTCACCCACATTCAGAGATTTTGCTTATACTTATTTTTGCTGACCAATTTCATCTAAATATGCCATAAGCATTTTCCCACTACATTTCCATTTCCTTATACACAAATGCCATTCTGAGATATAATTTGCAGAATATCATCCTGCTAATTTATACTGATGTGGCAGTATAGGTGGACGAAAGTGTAAGAAAAATTGGTTTTGTGGAAGAAAGGCTGATTGCCAAGGAATCTGGTGCTACAGTGTTTGAAAAGAGGAGTCATATGTCAGGAATTAGGCTATTTAAATGGTAAGTATGGATTAGATTTTTGATAGAATTACTGTTACATTCACATGAATCTGTTGTTTCTAAGGTTTTGCATTAAAACTTACGGATGATGTAAGAAGCATAAAATAATGCAGAATTTACCACACCTCCCACAGATCAGAAGCCCCAGTATTCCCCCTGAAATTAAGCTAGCACTCATGTAAGGATTTAACAAGGACAGCAGGTCAAAGACTGAGCTGAAGATGGAAGTTGAAGTGGAAGTTGTAAAATTTGGTCTGGAGCCTTACAGACTTACTTTTAGTCCAGCAGTATATCAAGAAAGGTCTAACAGCAAAGGGCCTAAAAAACTCAATGTTGTCTATAACGTTGTTTTTTTATTTCAAGAGCTTTCACTCTCAAAGGGTTGATGAATTTGTTTAAACAAAGCCTCGAGGGATTTGATCTTTTACTATCAGACAGGAAGAAGAGTCTAATTTCTTCAGTATAGACTTTATCCAGTTTATGATTCCTCTGAAATGTCTTTGCATAAACATACATATATATATATATTTATGCTGAGAACCCTTTCCACAAGAAAAGACATAAACAGCTTTTACCAATAATTCATTAAAATTTATAATAGCTTTACACTGTAAATACCTGTATTAAAATGTTCCTAAAAATAACTGACTTTATTACTGACATAAAAATGCCTATCAGGTTTTGAAATTTATTTGTTTTTTAATCTCTGTTATTCCATGTTGGAGAGGTCTGCATGTACTTCTAATATTAGCACTCATTAAAGTCTTGGTCTATAAATCTGTGGTGAGACATACTGCTTTCCTGGGATGAAGCCCACCTAAATGAGGACAGATCTGACAGGGAGCCCAGGAGTTAAGGGGTTTACTGGGTTTGTTTTCCTCTTCTGCTTTTGTATTAAACCTTTGAAAAACTGCATCTTACTGATCCTCATGAAAAGCTCAGCCATAAGTTCATCTTGGTACAACCTATGCAAGACCTCAAAGTTTATGATAGGGAAAATACAGGTTTTCCATATTTCATAGTTATTCTGAGCTTATCATCAGACAAAATACAAATAATAAAGAAGCCTGAAAAGCCTTAAACCCACCCCAAATACACAATTTTTTTTCTTCTTTTCAAATTAACAACTTGGATTTTACATCAATAGTAAACTGACCCAAATATATATATATGAAAATATAGATATAAATATAAACAATGTTTACAGATGACTTCTGCTTAAGCACAGGTTATGAAGTGTTTAGTCCATTTTTAGTTGTTAAAATACAATTTTGATATTAAATTTTAATATTCCAGAATCAGTATAATTAAGTTCAAAAGCAGTCCAATTTAACTAGAGGCTAAAGAGTTTATTCATAAGTTATTAATTCCACTGTCAGCAGCATTTTTCCTATAATATACTCCTTTTTACTGTTCCTGAAATCTGTGAAGCAAAAATACAACAAAAAATTTGCCCTAGATAATTTACCATACTATAGATTTCTATCACATATATAAAACCCTGGAAGTATCATTTTCAATGTGTGTTTCCCAATAATCGTCACTGTCATTATTAATTATTTTGTTCTGTCATGTAAGAATTGAAGATATCAATTAAAATAAATGAGAACTCATCCCCTTTGAATCAACCTGGTTACATAATTAGCACTCATTTATAGACTCTTCTATTAATGGTGTTGCTCCATCTACCAACTGCTATAGTGAGGGGAAATAAATGTCCCAAATTGTTTCATGCCTTCATAATGGGCGAATTGCAATTTCAGGCATAGTGGTAATGCCATTTACAGCACATTTTTGTGGAAAAATAATTCCTTTATATCATTTATTTTTATTAACCTTTCTACTGCAGCGGAGATCACAGTATCACAGTATCACAGTATGCTGGAGATTGGAAGGGACCTCAAAAGATCATCTAGTCCAATCCCCCTGCCAGAGCAGGAACACCTAGATAACGTTACACAGGAATGTGTCCAGGCGGGCTTTGAATGTCTCCAGGGAAGGAGACTCCACAACCTCCCTGGGCAGCCTGTTCCAGTGTTCCGTCACCCTCACTGAGAAGAAGTTCCTTCTCAAGTTTAAGTGGAACCTCTTGTGTTCCAGTTTGCACCCATTACCCCTTGTCCTATCATTGTTTGCCACTGAGTAGAGCCTGGCTCCATCCTCGTGACACTCCCCCTTTATATATTTATAGACACTTATAAGGTCACCCCTCAGTCTCCTCTTCTCTAAACTATAAAGACCCAGCTCCCTCAGTCTTTCCTCATAAGGGAGATGCTCCACTCCCTTAATCATCTTGGTTGCCCTGCGCTGGACTCTCTCCAGCAGCTCCCTGTCCTTCTTGAACTGAGGGGCCCAGAACTGGACACAATATTCCAGATGGGGTTAGCCGTGAGGATGCTGTGAGAGACTGTGTCAAAGGCTTTGCTGAAGTCAAGGTAGACCACATCCACCGCTCTGCCATCATCCATCCACCGTGTTATTTCCTCATAAAAGGCTAAGAGATTGGTCAAACATGATTTCCCCCTGGTGAAGCCATGTTGACTGCCCCTCATAACCCTCTTATCCTTGATATGCTTTAAGATGGCACCAAGGACAAGGTGTTCCATCACTTTCCCAGGGATGGAGGTGAGGCTGACCGGTCTATAGTTACCCGGGTCCTCCTTCTTGCCCTTTTTGAAGACCGGAGTGACATTTGCCTTCCTCCAGTCCTCAGGCACCTCTCCCGTTTCCCAAGACTTGGTAAAGATGATGGCGAGTGGTCTAGCAATGACTTCCGCCAGTTCCCTCAGCACCCGCGGGTGCATCCCATCTGGACCCATGGATTTATGGACGTCCAGATTGCTCAACTGATCTCTAACCCATTCCTCATCGACTAAGGCAAGTCGCTCCGTCGACCTGACTTCATCTAAGGTCTCAGGGGTATAGGGCTCTTCAGGACTGCCTGCAGCAGAGTAGACAGAGACAAAGAAGGCATTCAGTAACTCTGCCATCTCTGCATCTTCTGTCACCAGGGCACCCATCCCGTTCATCAGTGGGCCTACATTGCCTCTGGTGTTAGTTTTGTCTGCCATGTACTTGAAAAAGCTCTTTTTGCTGTCCTTGACCCTTCTTGCCAGGTTTAATTCTAAGGAAGCCTTAGTCCTCCTAGCTGCCTTCCTACATCCCCTAGCAGCAGCCTTATATTCCTCCCAAGTGGCCAGCCCCTCCTTCCATGACCTGTAAACTCTCCTCTTCCACTTGAGCATACCCAGCAATTCCCTATTTAGCCACACAGGTCTCTTGGCCCTCTTCCTTGACTTCCTACGTGTCGGGATGCTCCGATCTTGAGCACGGAAAAAGCAGTCCTTGAATGTCAACCAACTATCTTGGGCCCCTTTTCCTTCAAGCAGCCTTGCCCATGGGATTTTCCCTAGCAATTGCTTGAAAAGGCCAAAGTTTGCCCTGCTAAAGTCCAGGGTTGCAATTCTACTTGGTATCCTACTAGTCCTACCACACAAGATCCTGAACTTCACCATCTCGTGGTCGCTGCAACCAAGGCAGCCCTCTACCCTTACTGCTTCAACCAGACCCTCCTTGTTAGTGAGGATGAGATCCAGCAGCGCTCCTCTCCTGGTCGGCTCATCCACCATTTGCAGGAGGAAGTTATCATCCACACACTGGAGGAACCTCCTGGACTGCGGCTGGGTTGCCGAGTGGTCCTTCCAGCAAACATCAGGGAAGTTAAAATCCCCCATGACGACCACGGCCTGTGACTGTGAGGCCTCTCTCAGCTGCCTGTAGAAGGCCTCGTCAACTTCCTCACCCTGATCTGGTGGTCTGTAACAGACACCTACAACAGTATCCCCCCTGCCAGCCTGCCCCTTAATTCTCACCCACAGACTCTCAACTCGCTCATCATCTGTCCCCAGACAGAACTCGGTGCATTGTAGTTCCTCCCGCACATAAAGAGCAACCCCACCACCCCTCCTGGCTGGCCTGTCTTTCCTAAAAAGGACATAGCCCTCCATGACTATATTCCAGTCATGTGAGCTGTCCCACCAAGTCTCTGTAATTGCCACCAGATCATAGTCTCCTGACTTAACACAGGTTTCCAACTCCTCCTGTTTATTTCCCATGCTGCGCGCATTGGTGTACAGACATTTCAGGGAGCGAGCTGAGCACACTGATTTCACCCTAGGATTATAGGAGGCCTCCCAGTCTTCATTAATTCTGGAGCGCTGCCCCACTGGGGCAAGCCCAGCAACAACCCCATCCCCCTTCGAATCTAGTTTAAAGCTCTCCAAATGAGCCCTGCTAATTCGTGCCCCAGTATCCTTTTGCCTCTGTGAGACAAACCTTTCTCACTTGACATTGTCCAGACTGGTGCCCTATAAAACCAGCCATTATCAAAGAATCCAAAGCCCTGCCTGTAGCACCAGTCTCGTAGCCAATTGTTCATGAACTGAATCTTCCCATTCCTTCCCACATCATCAGTGGAAGATGGAAGGAGTGCGGAGAAGATCACTTGAGCCCCAGACTCTTTCACCATCCTCCCCAAGGCCCTGTAGTCTCTCTTCATCCCCCTCAGACTGCGGGAAGCAGCTTCCTCCCCACCTGTCTGGAAGACCAGCAGCGGGTAGTAGTCTGTCGGGTGCACCAGGCTGGGGAGCGCCCTGGTGATATCCCTGATCCGGGCTCCAGGCAGACTACACACTTCCCTGTGATGAGGGTCAACTCTGCATATCGGGCCCTCTGTTCCTCTCAGAAGGGAATCCCCCACCACTATGACCCTTCTTTCCTTCTTAACAGAGGCAGTCCTGAGGTGCAAAGTCGACCCCCTTTTCCTATGTGGCCTTGTGGGCTGGCCTTGCCCCACATTCTCACTTACCTCTCCTTCAAGATCCAGGGCCTCGAACCTATTACGGACGGACACCTGGGGAAGCAGGGCAGGAAGGGGGGAGGGTTTCCCCCGACGTCGAACCGGAACTCGCTTCCAACCCTCGTCGTCTTTTTGGTCCCCTACCTCTGCGCTACAGCTACAGGGCAGGGGCTGTCTCGGGCCATCCCCCTCTGCCTGAGAGGGCAGGGGGTCCTTCCCCTTTTGGGGGGTATCTCCCTGGAACCGTTCCGACCGGCACTCCAGGGAGTTACTCCACCAGTCGATCTCCCTTTCACACTCCCTGATGGTCCTCAGCGTCTCGACCTCCTCCTTAAGTCTTGCCACCAGGCTAAGCAGATCTTCTACCTGCTCACACCTCACGCAGGTGGAATGCTGTCCTCCCTCCCCCGGCAGCATCAGGCTCTGGCACTCCCTGCACCCAGAGACCTGAACAGCCACGGTTTGGGACGGGGTCTCCGTCTGAGTTGCTGTAGTCGTCTTACTGCAAGCTCTCTTTCTGGAGACAACCATATTGGTCTGCAGTCTGGGACACCAGCAACACGACCGGCTTGTTCCTCCCTGCGCCCGGTGGGCAGCGACCGGTCGCTGCCCTCTCTGAGGCTTTTTCAAGGCAAGCAGTAGGGAGTGGTCGCCGTCACCGTGGGAACGCCCCCCGCCACGTGAGCCTCTCTCTCTCAAGGGCTGCTGGGGCTTCGGGGATCGGGAGATGTCGGGAATCGCGATGTCTCTGCGCTCTCCTCTCTGATTTTCCTAATCTCCGTTGACCCTCGCGGTCGCTGAAGCGTGCCGGCTGTGGCTCTAGCTAGGCTAGCTCCGATCAGCTGACTGAATGCTAGTAGCGAGTTTCAGCCGCTTTTAAATCTCCCGCCGTCACCGTGGGAACGCCCCCCGCCACGTGAGCCTCTCTCTCGCAAGGGCTGCTGGGGCTTCGGGGATCGGGAGATGTCGGGAATCGCGATGTCTCTGCGCTCTCCTCTCTGATTTTCCTAATCTCCGTTGACCCTCGCGGTCGCTGAAGCGTGCCGGCTGTGGCTCTAGCTAGGCTAGCTCCGATCAGCTGACTGAATCAGATACTGATAGGCCTATGCAACTTTAACAGTCGAGGCAGGAATCTCTGGATATTGAAGTCCTCCAATTTTAGGAAAGAAAATTAATTATTTTCATGCAATGATAAAACTGGGGGGAACCCAAAGTGCACCTTGGTAACCAGTACACTATTAAATATATGTCTAAAATGCTTCCAGTGCCACAAAATACATGTTATCTGTTCCTGTAAAGTAAATGTTTTGTTACTGTAGCACACATCATTTTCCTTGTGCTGCTACTAGTTAAAAATAGATCCCTAACAAGTAGAGAGAGTTTGTTTTTATTTCAACACATAAATTCTTACTGCCCAATAACACTGAGCAAAAGAAAGATGGAAAACCTAAATTCTTTGTGTCCTCTCTTTGCCTTTCCCAAACAAAGCCCTTTTCCAAAGCATATACTGTTTACTCAGCACTTCATGAATTTTGGGCCATTTTAGGAGTTGAGGACATGATAAACGTCCATAACCAGCAGCTTACCTTCAAATGTCTTTCATCCAGACTGCATTATTTGCAGCAAGAAGCAATACTTGCAAGTCACCACTGTGCAACAGCTACAGACACATTCCATTTAATTTTTTCAGAAGATGGAAAAGGAATAGAAGTAGATTGCTGAACTTCGAGGGGTAGGTTTTGCTGTATGTTAGCATTCCAAAGAAAAGAATTAAAAATATATTCTGCTAAAGATACTCAACTGAATAAATCTGTAAAACTCCAGAATTTTGAAACTCAAGCCCATAATTCTTATGTTTATGGACTTCGTGTAGAATTAGTTCCATTTTATCAGAAATCAACTTACTTTTTAAAAAGGATAAATGAAGAAAAAGCAAAAGAAAAAGGTATTTATGACCTCTTTTTTTTTTAAAGAGTTTGAAATCTGAATTTTAAGACTATGCTCCAATTAAAAAAAAAAAAAAAAAACCTAAACAAACAAAAAAAACAAAGAAAACCAAACAAACAAACAAAAAAAAACAAACCAAAACCAAACAAATAGAGAAACATCAAAAAAATATGGTCTTTTTCGTCTCTTGTAGGTGGTATGTGAAAACCCTTCGACAAATACATGTCTCTGCATTTGTACAACAGTTTCAAACTACAAACTGCATTCTCTAACTTTTGCAGAAAACCACTGCATTTGCTGGCAGTATTAAATTATTTTTTATATTGGCCTAGGATGCATACTACTAAAAGCAGAACTATCTGGTCAGCCACACATACAGGACTCTTTACCCACACTTAGCACAGCAAATACTAATCACGTGTGAACAGTACATGTAGACAGACAGATAAGGGGCTGACTGCAAGCCCCCAAATCCACTACCTGCAAATTGTCTCCAGTTTACCACACAAACATTTCCTCCAAGGAGAAGGAGATAGAAAGACAGATCTACTCTGAACACTAAGTAATGCAGCTTTTGAAAGAAGCTCCCCAGATTTAAAGCTATTTTTGCCACCTTCTCCTCTGAGCTGTCACAGCTTTGTTCACTTTACTCCTGCTTGACTTGGCCATTGGATGTGTTTGTTTAGTGGCTCTAGAACACAGAAGAAACACAGGGTGGTAATTTTCAGGTATTCTGGATATAGTAGTGGTTACATTTTATGCTAGATCAATAGACCTTGAAAAGTACTGTTGAAAGCAGATGAAAAATCACAGTATGAGAAATACTTAGCAAATTGAAAAAAAAAGCAGGTGGGCAGAGGCATAACCCAAATATCCCTTTTCTCCTCCTGTCAGCGTCTGCAGTAGTGTCAGGAGCTGGATGGAAAACCGTCCAAAGTGCTAGACAAAGAAACCCTCCACTGACTGAAATAAATGCTGCAAGGTGGATGGGGAAAAGATATGTATGGCCATGAGAACACATCTCCACCCTTTTTTGAAGGCACGGTTTTGTCACTGTTGTTTTTCAAGGAAAAACAATGTAAAGGCTTTCAACATTCAACCTGCCCTTATATGTAATTTGTAAATATGTAAATATTTGCCCTTGGGTTCTCTCAGACAGTCATTCCTACACATCTAAGGGTCATATTCAGAGATAAAATACTGTAAATAGGAGCAATGTTTATTCATGAAAACATCACCACATTTACATTACCATATTTCTTGCTGATTTTAAGGTAGAACAGAATCTGTGACTCCAGGTAATTTAAAGTCTGAATTTGGCGTAGTCATAAAATAATCCAAAACAAAGGAAATACTGGATCTGCTGCGTTATCTGTCAGCAATTAAAGAATGTGTAGCTGGCATGTATATCTGATAAGGCTGCCTGGAACACCTTCAGTGTGTTAATATGTGGAATCCTAGTCTGGATTTCTTACACGAATATTCACTGCATTTTAGGAAGGCTTTTTTGCTGTTTGCCATCTTTCCTCCTAGTGGCAGGTTGAAAGGGACAAGCAAATTTTTTTAAGCAACCTGAATGCTAGATTCTAGATGTAGTACTTTGCAATACCTCTAAAAAGGCCATTTTATTTTGAATTCAAAATGTAAAAGCACCACACTTCCATTTGTGTAGTGCCTGGGAAACAGTCCAAATAAAACCCAGGGCTGTACTATCCGCAAACGTTTCCCAATGTTCCGTGTTTTTTTCCACAAGTATTGTAGCCAAATTATTTCTACCCAAATTAGCAATTGCCACTCATGCAGAAAAAAAGTTAACATTTTGTCATGTCAAAGTTTTGGAGAAGAGGGTGATGAAGAGGAACAGCTTGCTTTCTGTCAAATGCTTACTCTTTGTGTGGATCATGCAGAGACACCAGTCTAATAAGCTCGCAACTGAAGCCCCACTGGCACTGTGATAATAAACCATTGTGCCTTTGTGCACCTTTAAGTAGGTGAGCCAATAAAGAGAGAAATATACACGTTCCTTGTAAGTCATTTGAAACTGTTAGACTATAAAACACCAGCATTACCTCTCTTTAGCCCTAGACACAACAGCTTCTCTTTAGTGTGAAGCTTGGATCATTCCTGAATATTTTTATCTCAGTTCCTTGTCCTCTAACATACCACCCAGGCAGGCTTCTGAGTAGCCTTTGGTGTGCTTAGGTCACAAAAGAAAATTATTCCCTCTGCTTTTCATCTTATTAAGAGTTTGGGACTGCAGTTTGGGCAGTTAACAGTGACATTCCAGGATGTACAACTACTGTTCTCCTTTGAATTTTTCTTATTACTAGTCAGGGTAACTGGTACTTGGACTTCTTCATGGACTTGAAAAAAGAATAATCAAAGTCTTGTTCCTGTTCCCATTTAAGCTAACAAAACTTTTGTCACAACTTCAGCAGAGCCCCAGGCCCCCAAGGAGGACTTTCACAACTTGCAGCTTCAGCTTTTGAAGTTCCACATGGTTCAACTCAAAAGTTGAGTCACTTGGGAGGTGCATTCTTTTCAAATTCTTTTCACAGCAAAACTCAGATTCCAAAAATTGTAGAGGCCAGTTTAAAATAGAAATAATTTTACCAAGCGTGCCACTCGTTTCTCTCCATTTTTTTCTGCATTACCTGTTGCTTACTGTGACCTTGGCCAGTTCACATGGGACTTGCTGTTAATTCAAGAGGATGTGGTCACTGGAAGAACAAACCAGCAGTAGCGTGTACTGTGTCACTGAGCACCATTTAATTTGTACAGATTTGCCTGTTAAAAATACAGGAGTCAAGGGTAGCTTTTAGCTTCTTACAGTCTCACTATTCTGTGGCTAAAAATATTGTCTGAAAGTGGACTCCTTCCAGGACAAAAATATTCATGTTTGACTGGACCACCTTCTGTGTGCATCACTCACCCACAACATGTACCCAGACAGTGGAAAGTTCTAATTAACCAGCAGAACATACTGCTATTACACCTTTGCTCTAGAGTGATCACATGCATCATCTTCTTGTGACCCACTCCTCTACTGAAAGAAACAGACTAATAATATACTTTTAAAGAAGTGTGAATGGGGATTTATACTGCCTGAAGAAGCCACTTTCGCATGAAAATCATTTGCGCAATCATTTCCACTTCAGTGCAGGAATAGGATGATGTTCTCCCATTATGCCAAGGAAAATACTACGGCTGCTGCGGCAAGGGTGAAACAGCTTTCACTAGGGAAGCTGACATGTTATTTCTCTCGCAAAAACCTTCAGAACTTTCTGAAAAGGGACTCAGTATTTGGTGAAGCATTAAGGACTTTTTGGAAAATGTGCTTTTCTTCGTAAGAAGTTACTCAGAATGTGGTTCAAACCGTGTTTTTCTAACTAAAGAGAAACGTGTGGTGCATGTGAAAAAATACAGAAACCCATGAAAGATATCTTTGTTAAATGTCAGTGATATGTGTCTGTTATTTCTCTGTCTTGCAAGCTAATAAACTTAAGACCAGTTGCTTTACAGACAGGGTAGTTATTAGCTTTCAGCAGAAAATAACGTACCATAGGGAATTTACAGTATAAGAAAAATGCTCTTAAATATTTTGGGCCATCTGAGCCACCCAAGCTAAGTGTTTTCTGGCAGTAGAGGTGTTATTGTTGCCATAGCCCTGCCACATGATGTTATTCTCCTAAGTAAACGTAGTTTTCCTATGAAAGGACTCTGCTAAAGCCCAGTGGCAAGTACGCATGATTTCTTTCTCATACCCAGGATGGAAGAGATGGTTTTGGGGACTGTGTAACAGTGGTAGAGAAAAAAAACACAACTGAAATCTGTGTTTTACGTAAAGCAGGTGGACTGCAGTAGAAAGACATTTCATTTCTGACCATGCTCACAGAAAATAGACTAGTTGAATAACTAATCAATTACAGTGAAAAGGCAAACTTGTTGCTTCTGTCTTTCAGAAAGAACAGAACACATCCAATCACAAAAATAAGACTCTACAAAAATCTAAGAGGAGGTATCTAACCCTCATGGTTTTATTTTCATGGAACCTTTTTTTTACTATTAGTTATCTTCTGTGTTTTCTAAATTCTAACTTAAATCTAGTTACTGAAGATCCAGATTGACAATAAGAACAGCTACCGTTGGAAGTCCAACAGCCACACTATATGCTGATTGTTGGGATTATCAACCACCTTCCAGACAGAAAAATAAACATGAAATTGTGTTTTCAACCCCCCAAACAATGTCTGGCTATACACGTTCTTGGCCTTAAAGTCCACTTTTAATAATGCAAATAAAAAATGATTTTGCATTAAAACTTGACAAAATTACTTCATCCCTTATTCCAGAGCACCCATAGGGAAGTTGAAGTTTTTATGACTGTAAGTAGATTAGACCTGCAATGTTATTTTTAGTCATGTATTTATTCATGAGCAAAGGCCTTTTTGGATACAAACCAGGTGCAGACCAGCTGCTTTGTGTATCTGTGAAAGTGGCCCCAAACTGAACAAAAAAATTGCAGATACCTATCTCTGTATAATAGCATTTGTGTGTTGTACAGTTCCTCCATGTTATTCTTGTGCAACATTTTTCCATAACTAAATAATTTTGGTGGGCCCCTCAGCTATGGTCAAAGCCGTGCAATATGATCTGCTCAAACATGCAATGGAGGGCAGGGAGGCAGCCATCCCACCAGTCGTAGAGCCCATCTCACAGTACATCCCGCAGTAGAATGGATCACACTCCACAGGGAGCTTTTTAAGTGCTCAAGGCCAGCTTGAAGGGGGATTTGAGCACCCTGGTCTAGTGGAAGGTGTCCCTGCCCAGAGCAGGGGGTTGGAACTAGATGAGCTTTAAGGTCCCTATTAGCCAAAACCATTCTATGATTCTACATTCCATAGCCTCCAAAGGGTGCCCACACAGCCCCACACTGGGGTTGCAGAGGCTACAACCTGCGCTGTGCCAGGTCCATAGACCATCCCAGAAACAGCATCAGCATGGGGCCATGCTTCTGCAAGTGCCGCTGTGGGCAAGCTGAGCACTGGTAAGGGGCAAGTAAGCCACCCACCTGTCTGCTGCTTATTGCCAAACTCGCATGCAGTCACTATGTGCCAACACAGCCATACAATACCAGCACAGACAGAAAACCAGCAAATTGTGCAAATAAAAGAAGCTGTTTGAGGCAAGGACTGTAAATCCCAGTGGAGGTCAGGGCTTCCTTGACCATAAACAAATGATAATGATTTATATCCTGTTCTATGATTCTAAGATTCTATAATATTAACACATAAATTTGTGTATGGGGAAGGGAAGAGATACTGTAAGGGGAGCTACAATATTTAGTAATAACCTAAACTTCATTTCAAGCACCTCACAGTGATTTGCAAGTGGTAGCTTGGTAGCTTCTGAATAAAGGCCAGAAGCAATATTTGACTGGAAAAATAGTATGCAGCCAGAAACCAAGAAAGACTAAGAGAAAGGAGCCTACAGCACTTGAAACTAAGGGCTGGAAGTTTCATCTGATAGAAAAAGGAATGCCTGTTGATCTGAGGAAAACATAATGCAAAACATGTTTGCTGAGTGAGAAAAATGTTGATTGAGCAATATCAAAAGCAGCTGTGGTGTGACAGTGGAAAACCAATTAAATAAATGTGACATGGCAGCAAAACAGTCCATGTGGATTGGGGTTTGTGACGTTACCAGAGGGGACAGTGATGTAAAAGCTGGTCACTAAGCTGCAACTGTGACAAAAGCATTGGTGACCTGCCAGGGGGAGAAGGGAGGAATATGCATATTACTCAATGTTTCAATGTACCTTACTTTTATAATTATGATTTCTCAGCTTTCCAGTTCATCAGACGCATCCTGTGGTGTGGTGAAGTTACCAACACACATAGCTGTGCTCACTTGGCAGATACCTAATATTATTCTGTGGACTTTGCGTTTCTTGACCCCAATCATCTTGAAAAAGAAAACAAAGAAACCACATAACACAGAAAAACTGATGGGCAATGTTTTCTGCCAGACAAGAAAAGTATTTGACTGTTCTGTGACTTTCAACTCAGTAAAAATATGATAATATATCTATACATTTTTACTGTCAAGAGCAGGTCTTCTATGGCTGTCACTCTTCTCTGAAAAAACATGCAGTGTCTCTAATGAGATGGGGCTAATTTCTTTTTAAGCTATTACTACAAGATAAATCATTGTTCTGGGTATAAAGACCAAATATGACACATTGCATCACAGGCTGAATGGGCAATATACACTGGCTATCGATGTTTTGTAAAGCAGCATGGGATGAGAAACTGCTTAGTGTACTTGAAAATACTGGAAAGCCAATATCCAACCACAGAGAGCAAGCGAGGTCTGTCCTTCTCACTTTTTGTGAGTTTTTTCTTGAACAAAGAAAACAGTATTCCGTTTTTCTGTTTATTTTAATCACTTAAAATATTATGCCAATGAGTCACCGTCAAGAGACTAGATGAAAAGCCTTTATCTTAAAGAGATAATGTGACAAAGCAGTGTAAGTTCATGGTCCAGATTATTATGTAGAAGTTTCAACTTAATGCTAGGCTTCTCATTTTCAATGTATGCTTGCAGCAGTTCATTCAAATGCAGGTTTTTTTACACATCAGAAGTTGTCAACAGTTCTGGTTTCTAAGGCTTTCTGCATTTTCATGGAATGGGAGCAACTTTCATTCAAGCTTCCCCAACACTCTCCCACCTTTTCCTTAAGGGACCATTCAGGATGAATGCATGGTTTAGTCTCCATGACCCACTCACTTGCTGGTGCCACTGTGACTGCCAGTAAGTGACTGAAATTAGCTTTAACTGCAAGGCGAACACTAGAAGTAGTTAGACAGACACCAGTAATTCATCCTTCACTTTCTGCTACTGTTAATCTGCTTGAATCAGTGACCTACAGCTAATGGATTCAATAGGCTTTTTGCTTAAGTCTGATCAAGCTATTAATAATACAGCTGGGGAAAAAAGTACAAAAGATACTTTGAATTTGAATATGATTTCTTAATGACCTTCTCCATTCCTAATGCCTACGCAGCCCAGTTGTTTCCAGGTCAGGATAATCATAGAATCAACTAGGTTGGAAAAGACCTTTAAGATCACAAAGCCTAAAGCAATTCTCCCAAGCAGCAGTGGGTTATCTTTGGTGCCTACAGACAATTCCATTTGGTGTGCTTTCTGTTTTTTTCAACAGCAGCTGGGAAAGTAATTGCTGGTGGAAACACATGGACACAGTGATCCTTAGCATTGCCAGGGCTGCATTAGACCATGTGGTTAACTTGAACTGCATGTGTTTGGACTCCCTGTCTTAATTCTGAACCCACAACATAAGGAGAGCATATTTCCCTGTTCCCACATCATTAATTGCAATCACTGTTATCCAAATAATCTGGTTCATAGATAAAAATTGTTTGAAAAAAAAAGTTGAGAGAGACAATGGATCAGCTAACAATAGGCCGGCTAATCATTTAGGAAAACTAATAAAAAAATAGTGACATATTAATAAACCATTCTGACTCCTGGCTTGTCAAGGATTTGGAGTACGAAGTATAACAAATCCAAAATCTGTCTGCTAAATTCTACTGACACTGAAATCTATAGGAACTCCGATTCTTGTGACGGGTCAGTTCAGTGAGTTCAGCCAAGCACTAAGGCCTGAAATTTGGCTGCAGAAATTCTGACATGCCTCCACCTCCAAGCAATCACAAAGGCTTACCA